GCCACTCGAGCGGAGGACCAAAAATCTAGGAAACAAAAAGTTTCAAAACCAAGCGACCAACCTGTTCCAAACACAACCACAACAATCTCAAAGCCAAATTTAAGGGGGAACACACGGGGCGCAAGATATAAACAACAGTATAAAATCATTAAACCCAAGTCCGGGATACAATAAAGGTCGAGTCAAAACCAAGATCGCTATAAAGTAAGTATTTTTCAATTATTGTTTTTAATGTTATTATGAAGATGCTATGCTAGATTTATTGCTAGGGTAAGCATTTTTCAATTATTGTTTTTAATTTTATTATGAAGATGTTAGGCTAGCTTTATTGCTAGGGTAAGGATGAAATCACATAATGATTATTTATAACAATTCATGTAAATTAATTTCTCCATAAAAATATATGCTTTAATTTAACAAAAGTTTTATTGTTCATTCGTCAACTTTTAACTAAAAATAATTAAAATTGGATTTTCATTGTATTTTATTGGACTCAATTTATGATTTGTTAAAAACAAATATAAATTATGTTTTGATGGATTCAATGAATGTTTGGGTAAGGATGAAATCACATAATGATTATTTATAACAATTCATGTAAATTAGTTTGTCCATAAAAATATATGCTTTAATTTAACAAAAGTTTTATTGTTCATTCGTCAACTTTTAACTAAAAATAATTAAAATTGGATTTTCATTGTATTTTGTTGGACTCAATTTATGATTTGTTAAAAACAAATATAAATTGTGTTTTGATGGATTCAATGAATGTTTTCTTTTTGCTTGGCGAAAGAAAAATATATTTTATGAAAATAAATAAAAAGAGCTTTCATGATTATACCTTTAGTTGAACGAAACAAGAACGGGAGCGGGAGCGGGAGCATAGGATCGTAACCACTTAGAAGAGTCGTAGTTTGGAAACATTTCTATATTATTTTTATTGAAAATATTTTTAATTTATCTATAAAAACTTTTTTTTCTTATTTTTAATTGATACATATATATTATATATATATGTTATAAATGAGCTTAAATTTTTTCATTGTTATGTAATATTTTTAATTAATAAAATACAACATAAAAAATATTTTTTTAAAATGAATACCAAATAAAATTCATTATAAATATAAATATAAAAATAAAAATAAAATAATAAATTCAAACATTATAATAATATTTTAAAAATATTTACCGACACCAAAAAATTAATGAAGTGATATTATTGAATCTTCAAAACACAAAGACCAATAAAAATAATAGAGTGATATTCTTGAGTCTGTAAAACACAGAGACTAATAAAAATAAGGAAGTGATATTTTTTAAAACACAAAGTTATATCCTTAAATAAGATACAATAAATAATCTCAAAATAAATTAAAAAAAAAAGAAAAAACGTGAGAGAGAGAGAGAAAGAGAGAAGAGGAGAAGAGAAGAAGACTAATGGTCAGAGAAGAAGAAAGAAAACAAGAGAGAGAGAAAACAATAGACAACAACCCAGATTTTTCTTTGATTCTTCCTCAGAGACAGAGAGCAACCTAGACTCGCATTTCTCCCTTCTCAGACTCGCGATTCTTCTATGATTCTTCCTCAGAAACGCAGAATCGCACTTCTTTCTCCGATTCATGGGCATTTGAGACGATTCTTGCTACTAAGATTATATCATCCGCAATAAAACAGTTCGACCACCAATTTATTGTGAAGGAAAATTGAAGAATTATTTAATATGAATATGATGGATTCCACTGCCCCAATATTTAATACATTTGATTAAATCCTTTTTTATATTTGCATTTTTATTAGAATTCAAGAATTCGTTCAACTAGATTAGGTAATTTACTTCAAGATTAATTGACTTGTTCTTGCCTTATCTATACTCCAATATATGTGTGCACTTGCAAGTAATTAAAATTAGTACATCAAAGAGCACAACTATAAATCGCAAGAAGATGGGACATGCACAAGCATTCTCATTAGATTTAAGACTACTCACATGGGGAGCTATCATTGTAATAACCCTCACCACTGATTACTGATAACCCTACTGATTACTGCTAAACTGTGACTGATTATGATAAGTAATTGAATCGACTGAAATACTGAACTGACTGATTGAACGTACTAGTTTAAATGCATATCTATCTGTTTGACTGTTTAATCATCTGTTCATGTTTTATGTTTAAATTACAAATTAAAGGCCTTATCGGCGGCCGAATCTGAAATTGATTAGTGATATGTGTTAATCGTAATTTATGTGATTTTATGGCATATTTATCTGAGTTGTGATTTGGTATGATTAAATTAGATTAAAATGAGCTAAATTACATAAGTTACCCTATTTGCCATATTGCCATCGTAGTAGCCCACTACCTAACACATTTGAGCCTTGCACTTGATCACAAAACATTTCTCCCTCAGCCATTTTAGAGGCCACAACAGACTAGAGTGAGAGAGTGAGAGAATAGGAGTGATTTCAACTTGATTTTGTGATTTGGCTTGAAGAACTTGAAGAATTGAAGTATAGATTGCAAATTGAGCTCCTAGACCTTGAATACAAGACTTAAGGTAGAACATCCACCTTCTTGAACTTGTTTTTGAATTGATTCATGCATGGTTCTTGTGTCCTTAGTGAGCTAAGCCTAGTTTGAGCCTCATAATGTTGACTTGAAGCATAATCTTTGCATGCATGGCATACTCTTGCATCTTGAGGTTGTTCTTCATAAATTTGTCACATGCATGTTCATATCTTGAGTAGAGACTATGAATTTATCATGTCTTTGGAAGATTTGGCTCATTAGAGCATGTATTGAAGCTTTGAATTAGTTTAAACTCATGCATGTCATGTTTGAGTTATGTTCATGGAAATTGGTTTGAACTTGAATTTAACTGAACTACCTTTGGGCTTTGATTTCTCAAATTGATCTTTGAAACATGTTATATTATGAGTTTTGAAGTGTTTTCCAGAAAATTAGCCCAAAAGGATCAAATTTAGTACATTAAAACTTGGTTTTGACCTTGAGGTTCGAATCTGGAATTTTCAGATTTTGAACTCATGCTCGAGCGGAGTGACTGGCGCTCGAGCATGAAATTCGTGCTTCCAGCACTTTGTACTGTTTTACAGTCCGCTCGAGCGGAACAATTGACGCTCGAGCGGGACATTGTGTCTTACGCTCGAGCGGGTGTCGAGCGCCCAATCGAGCGTGATTTCACACATCCAGCACTTTTAACTATTTTGCAGTACGCTCGAGCGGGTAAGTATACGCTCGAGCGGAAACCTTTGTCTGCATGTCCGCTCGAGCGGAGTAACCTACGCTCGAGCGTGAACCCTGTTTTCTGAAAATTCTGAAAATGCTTTTCAAGTGCATCTTTGCATCCTCATTTCATCCTAGGCATTCCTAAACCTAGTTTAAGGTATCTTAATGAGGATATAAACGTAGAACCACACCGAGGCAAATTAGGGATTAAGTTACTATTTTCCCAACTGTATAGCTTAGTGTGTGTTCACTCTGTAACTGTGTAGGGTTGGCATCTGAGGACGTGCTCTACCTTAACTGTAGCCCAGAACTCTGTGAGTAACAACTGTGTAAAGATATGTTCAAATATGATTATCTTCTGAACAATTGAACTGTACTGTTTTCTGAAATGATATTGTTACTGAATGAATGATGTCCTAATTGTGAACTGTATTTTGGCATCCTTAGCAACCTACTGTTACTGTATTGTACTGCCACTGTCACAGAGATCTCTGTCGGTTCCCATGTTGGAACCACTACTGTTTACTGATATGATGGCCATCAACTTACTGTTCGGTCTGATAAGACCTACTGTACTGTTTTGCTACTGGATGTACCACATATGATTGTAATGACTGAATAACTGATATACTGATTGAAATGATTGTTTTCAATACTGTAAGGACATTCATTCTTAACCTCTTTACGCATTATGTTATTCACTGGGCTTTAGCTCACTGCTCATATATATATGTAGGTGTACAGGCACCGGACCGTTGCTAGAAGCGTCGGGGTAAACTCCAATTTTGTCAAGCCAACCTATGTGCCTCACTGCGAGGTCCCGAGTCCGTTTAAGCTAAGGCTATGAGGTGTTTTAGTTTCCCCCTTTCTGTTCTGTTTTGTATAGACTGTTTACACTGTTACTGTACTATCTTAATAGGGATTAAGTCCCTGTCCTGAAAGATTGTAAATGTTGTACATACTGTTTTGCACTGATTGTATATATGTATGAAAAGTCTTTTTGCATACAGACTGTCATAGCTCATTGAACATTGTCTATTTACTGTTTTGGCTTCCGCCATGCTCCTGTACTCTGTATTATTGGTTGACTGTTAAGCACGCCTTCGGTAATCACGGATTACTGGCCGGTTACGGTGCTAAACCCATAGGGGCGGGTTTAGGTCGTGACAATCATCTAATACCATAGAGGGATATATTGATTCTCATAGTGATGCTCTATTTCCCCCACCCCCACCCCATAGTAGGGGCTCTACAATTTGTAATCGAGACTTAGACCCCTCACATTTTCACATATTTAAAACATGTGACTCAGTGTATACACAACATATTCATAACAAGCTTTGGCTATCAACAGAAATGGGAGCTATAGTTGCCCTCAAACTACGAGACCTCAACATCATTTTCACAATTAGGCACACCAAGTAGTTCTCCCACTCAAGAGGTATGAGGTATGCAAGTGCACTCTCATTTGGCTCATGAGAGTACTCGGGCGGGGGGCTACATGAGGGTACTTGTGACCCAAGTGGCCAACGCATTTGCTTCACTATCACCATGCTTGCACTTTGCTCAGTGTCCTTACTTCAGCACCCACTCAGTGCTCGCTCCATTTGATTCACAACCAAAAACAAGAATACTAGAAATCCTCAGAGATTAAACAATTATTTAAAATAAGAAAGCAATTGCAAATTCTAATTGGCATAAAATGAGAAAGAGATTTGTGGAGAGATAGTAAACTACAACTTGACATATTGTTACATCAGGTACACCAATGATATCCATATTCCATTGGTAGTGCTCACGACGCCGCCCCCTAGTCATTCTCTCATATCGCCAGCACTGTCCAACAGCAAACCATTTTAATGGGAGGGATGCAGATTTTCTGGACAGGAACAAAAATGGAGATCAATTCTGGCATCTATACAAGGATAAAAAGTGAAAAATAACAACAAATAAATTGATAGCATATTACTTGCCCCCAAAAAAATTAATAAATAGCATATCAATAAGTTTTGTAGTTTAACTTCTAGATTAGCCAAGACCAAAAAATAAATAACCTTTTTTTTTAACAAGTAATTTACCAAATAATTTTGAAAAAATAATAAATATTCATAAGAAAGACTATACATTGTTCCCAAAAAATGGAAAAAGAAAAAAAGGCAACAAAATACATAATATTAGAGTTTCACCCTTTCTGTATCACAAGCCTTGCCAGAGAAGGAGTAAGTTCAGGCCTTAATGCAACTCGAGAATTTCCTCTGTCCTCAAAACAGTAAAGCTGCACAAGAAATGAGGAAAAAAAATCTTATCTTATCACAAAAACTTTTTCCAAAACTAAATCCATTTGAATACACTTGTATTTCAAACTATCTTCCAATATATATAAGCATAGCAATTTCCTTCTTTTTTTGGGTACTATTTTTTATACAGGAAGTTGCCTTAGTTCAATGAAGTAATAGTATTTAGAATTTCAATTAATGGTATTTAGAAAAGGAAGTTGGTGGTTAAAAAGTCAGATCAAAGAAAAAATCAAAGAATAAATCCTTAAGAAGGTCTATGTTTGATTCAGACCAGATATGAAGAAAAGCCCAGCAGTTCAGAATTAAATGGGAACCCAAGTTTGGTCAAGGCCAAGTCTATTGAGGGGCCTGATAGCTGGAATCAAGTTAGGTTGCTTAGATCAGCTGTGGGTTGGAATCAAGTTAGGTTACTTGGCCTTACCTCATATGTAAATTGGGAAAACCAATAGATTTAAGTTTATGGTGCAGAAACTGACATGACAAAATAAGGGTTAAAACTAGACTTAATGACTATGAAATCACACGAAACCAATTGGGTTTTAAAATAGACTAATTAAGAATAAAATTTAGATAAATTCAGTGTATATAGTGAGGTTCAATTTTTTACGTTTGCCAGCAGAACAGAAAAATCCGCCTAGATTTGTGTCATAGGCTCAGAGTGACGTTTAATTTAGTTTAGACCTCAAACCATGTCTAACTTGACTTGGGACCTTGTATAATATGAATTTAGGTATCATTGAAAGGTTATGGTAAGTTGGGTTAGGCTGTGTGAGTGCACGCTTTAGTTTGGGGTTGCTTTGCTTTATAACCTTTCGTAATGACTTTTGGGTTTGTAGTGATGTAGTCTTTTATACTTGGTTTAGGGAGCTAGTTAGATTTCCTTGTTCTTTGTGAGGCTTGTACCGTCGTTGTGTCAAATGATTAGTGCATGCTATTATCTTTCAAAAATTTCCCACGAATTTGTTATGATTGCAAACACAGTTTAAATGCTTAGAGAAATAAACTCATTTGGAACTATGAATCACATGCGATCTGTAACTAATGAAACTCTTGGCATACAATGGTTTAAACAATAGTTTTGCTATGATTTTTTGTTTGATATCACTATTGGTATGCATATGAAAGTCCAGGTGATAGTTTCAACCACCGAGGCAAGATCATCATGACTCTTGCAGCTAAGGAATTTTCACACTGTGAAAGCTTTAGTTCTCCACAATAGAAGGGAACAGGGATGGTGCGCCGGGGGACTTGACACCAGATCTACTTCGGGAAAAGGGTCGGGTGCAAACCTGAGGATGACATGACTCCAAGCTCAATGATTGGATCTAGTGAACCTTATTGGTTGCCCGCAGTCATTCATATGTGGTTTCCAGATATTGGTTATGATGTTGATTATCTTTGTGATATCTATGGCCTAAGAAGCAATGACACAAACACATGACATGGAAGTTTTAAAAAAATGTAGGACACGACACGTGGGTGCACGCACGGAATATATAATTTTATATATTTATTATACAAGATAAAAAAATTATTATGTGTCATATATATGAATATTTAGTTCAAAAATATTAATTTTTAAAGTTTAAATGAAGAGAATAGATATAAATTTATGTTGTTTTTCTTTTATCATTGGATTCCAAGTTTTTATTCAAACTTGTAATGTGTTTGTGTTTAAACGATAGACATGTATCTAAAGCGTGTCCAAGTTTAGAAATTTTTCAAAAATAGTAGGACCATGTTTGGATGTGTATCCGACAGGTGTTGGGAAGTGTCCAACACTTTGTTGGACACACAACACACCACCTTCTTAGAAATGCATGTCCAAGTTTAGAATTTTTTTTTAAAATAGTAGGACATGTTTGGATGCATATCTGACAAGTGTTGTTGGACACAACACACCACCTTCTTAGAAATGTTGTTGTTTTCTTAGTTTATGGCAGTTTTAAGAATAGAATTGCAATACAAAGAGATAAATTCAAGCCCTTATTGATTGAAATCTTTGGAAAACTATGTGTTGTATGACTGTTTATTTTGGAAAATCTTATTCTACTTTAAGATTGAATATCATGTTACTCACTGACCTTTTCAGCAGCCCCGTTGATAACATTATCAGGCGAGAGAGGATATGTGGGTTGGATTCATAGCTTGGCGACGACTCTTCCACATGGACATCTAGGACATATATGTTGAGTAGCATGCATTTTCATTACATTTATCACTTTTCAAGGATGTTAGATTGTGTGGGTTGTTATGTCCCACTTGTTATATTTTTGGGGATTGTTAGGGTGGTTTGTTTTATGGTATCACTGGATTCAGAATTGGATTTATTTAGAACATTAGAGAACGATTCATTATTCTGCCAGGATGGAGAATTAAATAATTATTCCAATTTATGAGACTTTGGTATTTACTTTTTCATAAATTTTGATTTTTTGGCTTACGTGTGCCTTGGACTAAAGGCCTAATGGCCCATGGCCGATGATGCCCTGGTTTGGGGTGTGACACTGACACCTACATCTAACCAAGAAGGAAAACTCCCCCAAAACAATGTCACAGTCGAAAACAAGTCTATAATCCCAAACATCAACCACTGGTGTAAACAAAAAGGGAGACAAAGGATCTCCCTGCCTATAACCCCTCAAAGTTCTAAAAGTCTTCCCGGCCTTACCATTGACGACTATCAAAAGATTAGAAGACAAACATCACACCATCCACCTCCTCCATCTCTCCCCAAAACCATTTTTGTCCAAAACAAAATCCAAGAAGCCCTACTTCACATGGTCATAGCATAGGCCTTTTAAAAATCATCTTTAAAACTTTCGACTTCCTTAGATCTGTAGTCCTCCAGAACCTCATTCGCTATTAATGAGACATCCAAAATCTATTGACCATCAGAAAGTAAAGCCCCTTGCGTAATGGAAACAATATCCCCAAAAATTGCTCTCAATCTCTTAGACAAAACTTCGGCCAAAATCTTTTCTTTTCTTTTTTTTTTTGATAAATAAAACTTCGGCCAAAATCTTTCACAGTGAGGTAACCAAACTAATAGGACTGAGTCCCCAATTTTGAAAGAATTTCCCTTTTAAAGGATCAAACATATGGAAGTAACATTTGTGCACAAATTAATAACACCCTTTTCAAAAAATAAAAAATAAAAACACCATCATCAAATCAAATTTCCCAGAATCCAACCAATCTTGAAAAACTAAACCAAACCAGGCCTTGTGTCTCAATCTTGAAAAATTGCCATGGTAAATCCATCAAGACTGGGAGACTTATCCCTCTCACAATCAAACCATCTTGTCCAATCTCCAATCATCAAATGGCCTTTCCAACCATCTAGATTTTTTTCTCTAATTGGACACCAATCTAACCCTTCAACTCTCTGTCATTGCTCTCCTCCCAATGTTAAATAGATAAATTACGTTGCTGACGACTTATTCAATAGCAAGGGTCCAACTTGGCTAGCCATAACTTATCAACAAACATCATCAAAAAAAGATCAAATCATCACCCTCCCATCATGAATGCATGTCAAACTAGTAGAGCTCTCTAGGCCTTCCTTCCAACCACCTATAATCATTGTAAGTAATTGGAGGATACAACCGTTAAGTTTAAAGATTTCATTCAAATGGGTTTAGTTTTACACTTCATTAAAGTGTAATGACTTATTAAAAAAAATAAGTGTATGGCTTTTGATTGGTCATTGTTATGCCTCCCAACACTTTTACAAGTACCAGTAGATGGGTTATAGATTTTTCAATCTCTCACTTTGTGCTTGTCTTTAATTACGTGTGCATATTTAGATTTCCCAACTCCCACTTTCTCACTACGCCTTCTCCCTACACTTTAACTATGTATGAATAATGCTATATACAAAACCATCATCTTCATAAGCTACATCATAAAGATTAGTACTATTACATCATGGAGACTAATAAAGATAACTCTTTTTGTTTTTGAACACATAGTTCAGTCGAATATTTGATAGAGAAGCTGCAAGTAAACGAGTCATAGGTGATGCTAGCATCCAAAATTGGAAGGGGTACACCCTCTTTTAGACAGCGGGAGCACTAGATGACTGATCTATATTGTACCAATCAAGAGCACACACTACAAGTTATGGCAGTTTGATTATAGCAGCCACCCTAGCAGCAACAAATACTTCTAGGAAAATTTGACCACGAGCAAATGATGCAGTATTTAAATTTGTTTTAGAAACATTCATAGTAATAGCTTTTCAAATGCACTGCTTTTTAAAAATAATTTTCATATTTATAGAGTTTCAATAAGGGTTTCGTAGTCCTAAATTTTCTTTTTTCTTTTTTAGTGAAAAGAATCTTTAGAACATCTGTATCTGTATTTATGAATATGAATTTATTTAATTTAATTAGGCATACGGAGAAAATGGACATATAGAAACTCCACTTGATTGAGACACAAGATTTAGTTTGGTTTGATTTGAACGTTTATAAAATTCTGCTTAGAATTTTAAGATGCTCACACAAGCTTGTTGGTACAAAAAAAGTCAGTTACAAAGAGGAATAAATTTAAGAGGCATGTTAATTTTTTTTTTGATAACTCAGGTATCCCCACAGCCGAAGCATGGGACTACTCCTGAGGGCCCTGAAGTTAACGACCGGGCCAACCTCCAGTGGCCCACACAGCAGCCTTGCGGGGAGTAGGAATCGAACCTGAGACCTCCAGAAGGAGCATACTCCCAGACCCCAGGCCTCTTCCTTCACCCACTAGGCCACCCTTGTGGGTTTTAAGAGGCATGTTAATAATAAGAACAAAGGAAAGACAAACCTGGTCTCTGATCTCCTCCCAGCTTTCCGGATAAAAAGAGGCTCTGACTCTAATACTGGGAAATCAACCTCCTCAAATGCAAAGATTTGCGAAACCTAAATTATGCAATAACCAATTAATATAAATATACCCATCACATATATATAAATAAGTGTTTTTGAGAACCCTTTTGAGAACTAAAATTATTAAGATTATAGAGATTTTGCGCTTGATTCCTTTTGAAGACACT